GTTTCCCCCGAACGTTGACAGATAAACAGTGAAAAACCGAGGGATCCGACAGCCGAAATTCGTTCGATCGCCGTCGACGGGTCCGTCGACAGTTCGGAAAACGTACCGATCGATCGTCGGCGACGGTGGACGTCGCGTCGGAAGAAGGCGAAGGCGAAGGCGAACGCGGGAAGTAGGTCGGTGAGAAATGTCGGTCCTTCGTCGGAGACACGAGGAGCCGCTGACTGAGCGCCTTCGTCAGTCTCGCGAAGATATTCCGGGAGTCAACAGGTGCGTAGGAGCAGGCCGCCTCTTTCTGCTCTTCTCATTTCCTTCCTCGTCGTGCCCCTTTTTTTTCTTTATTCGAACGCGACATCGATCGCGACCGTCCGCGAATTTCGTTGCTCGCCCGCGTGTCACGCGGATCTGAGAGGACCGGCCTCGCTCTGTGTCTACTACCCGTCTGCTCCGTCCCATTTTTTCCCCGACCGCCCCGGTTTTTCTACTTGCACCCTTCCGCACCCTTGCGCGATCATTGGATTCGTCGTGACCCGGGGAACAGCGTCGACCGAACACCAGGCCACAGGACACGGGAAAATGGACAAGCCTAAGGTATTTATCCCGCGACACCGACGTTTCTCTGCTTCGACGAGGCTTCTCGCATCGTTTCATGCCTTTTTATGCTCGCGTTTCCTGGACCTTCGTTTCGCTACCATCTCGAAAACGTGTCCGCGAAAGTTCTGTCGAACTTCTGTTCGAGTTCCTGTCCGCTCGGAACTTTTTGCGCGTAAAAGGAACGTCGATTAGGGAGTATTTCGTTGAATTTAATTTCGATGGGTTATTGTATGCAACGTTATTATTATTATTATTATTGAACTTTTACGTACAGATTCGTGGTTCATGGTTTACGGGAAACATTACCGTAAGTGTGTTAGTTCCTGCGAGTCATTTTACGCGAGGAAGTTGCTCGATTTAGGAATTCTATATAATCTACCGTCGATGGCCGCGAATGGATGGTGCTCTTTTACGAGCCGCTTCGTCCTTAATTGTTCAAAATGGTGTTCGTAGCTCATGAAAATCGCTGGTCTATTATAACTGGACTGCAGGATTTCTGTGCAAAATAAGAATCGTGTGAGTCAATTGCTATTTTCCGATGAAAATGTCTCTTCTATTTCTCTGATTTCAACCCTTTGGACTCAACCGGTGACTCTGATTCACCGCTGAAAATTGTTACACGATGTTTCAGAATAATTGTAACGCTGTCAAATTTGTTTATATTTTAACGCTGGATTTACGGAACTTTTAATTTACTATCGTTCGTATCGTAAGAATACATTTATGAGTTATTTATTCAATTTATATCTGTTATTTATATTCAATTTTAACGCTGGATTTACGGAACTTTTAATTTACTATTATTCATATCGTAAGGATACATTTATGAGTTATTTATTCAATTTGTATCTGTTATTTATTCAATTTATATATGTCGAATGTAAATATAATAAATATATATGGCAAATGTAAAATCAGAATAAATGTCTTATTGTTACTTTTATAAAGCAACAGTTTTTTTATGCACCGTAAATCTAGCGTTAAAAACTGTCGAAAGTGTAATTGTTGCACGAGTCACAATATTCAATTTCATTCATATAAAGTGCACATAAGTCATGTTAAATAGAAAAACTATTTCGAATTTGGAGTTAAAATGGCTTCGAGTGTAAAGGGTTAATATGTCGATTATAATATAAAATTAGCTTTAAACTCTATTAACGTTGTCGCGGATCTGTATTTAGACTGGCCTTGTCTGTTGAAGCTGCATAAAATCCACGGTCCGACTGCGAGTGCATTAATTCTTGTAAATTATTATACGTCGCTTCGTCGAAAATCTAATAATTTATTGTCGCTAACGGGGTGCGTAGATAATTTCTACGCGCAGTCGCGTTTGTAATGATATCATTACAAAAATATCATTACAATAACGCGATCTATGCCAAACGATCAAGCAAAATCATTTCTATTCTGTATTAAATTTCATGCACATTTCGCGCACAGGTGTTTGAACAGTTTCGAGCAACAAATTCAAATTTCCTACCTCCATCGTCGCCTGGCTGATTGATCGAAAGGTGATCCATTAATCTCTGTCGAACGCTCGTAGGCCGGGATAGTTCGCGAATTTTCAGAGAACATAATCATATCGTTTATAAACGTTCCCTTTATAAACGATCCGAATCGCGTAACCGCATACGCGTAGCTGCGAACTTATTAATTGAGCCGTTTATTTTGAAAGTGACATAAGTCACTTTTTCAAAAAAATCGAGTTAATGGTAACACTAATTACAATTGAACGGTACCTTTTCATTTTAAAAAATTTGCAATCAATAAGTTGAGAACTATTGAGATTTGTTCGAGAGAAGTTTTGCTAATTAACGGTATGACAAACATGTTTATTTTAAAAGTGGCGTAAGTCGCTGTACTCAGGAAATTAATTGCGGAGCTTAGTGTAAAAGAAATAGAAACGTGTGATAAGTGTGTGAAGTATCGTTTTGAATTATTTTCAGTATTTTTAAAAAAGTTGTCATCACTGGACTTATTTTTATAAGTGCGAAAGAGAATAGTGCAGTTTTGTAAATTATATTATAGTGATGTGGCGGCTACCTCCAGACCCGCCAGCAGATGGCTATAAAATGTTTTATAAACTAACTTTGGATGAAAAAGATGAATTTCTAACTTTGGATTTGTCACCAAAAAGAGGAAGACCTAGGCGTTATTCACAAATAGAAATAGATCCGTTATACTCTGGATCTCGTCCTGTTTCTTCAGCAAAATACAAAGACATGATGGACTTGCTTAATTATATACCCCCAATATACCACAGTTATTTAAAAAATTTGAAACAAAACACGATT